TTTCCACTTCTAACCTTCCTTTGTACGACGTATGAAATAAAATTTTCGAAAGATATTATTTCGAATAATCAATATTTTTAGGGGAATAGCGAACTCCCAAGGCCAAAAAGAATTCCCAGAGTAGAATCTTTAAGAAATCTCTTTAGGACCAACTGCGATCATTCTGTTAACGGCAAAAGTTCTACGAGAAGCGCGACGATACAAGAGGAGGATGCTGTTATCAATGTTAGCCATTGCTCGATGGAGAAAACTCTCAGCGAAGGAGCGATCAGGAAGCTTCCGTTTCGAAGAATTTGTCCAGAGAATTTCAACAATCGCGAATTCGCTGAAATCGATCGAGAAATGTTTCTCCGCCAAAAGAAATTACAGCTGAGTCGCAGCATACAAGATCTGCAAGAGCAACAGCGGGTCTTAGATTATATACTCAAAAATCATGAGAGCTTGAAAACACGTCAGGATGACACATTCACACGAGAAACATTGAAGAACGTTGGTACGAGCGTGAATCCGAAATCTTCGGGAGAAATAAAACGTAGGATTCCGACGCGAACGCATGATCACCAATCTATCAATAACATTGGTGTCAACGAAGTTAAAGGAAATTTCTATTCCCAGGGATTATCTTCCGGCTCGTTGACTGGTTTGGAAGATTTACTGAGCAACCTGCGCATAGGTTGTGATGAAAGTGGTTACGATTCGGATAGTACGCGAACCGGCGCGGACTCACCGGACAGTGAAAAATCGGCGATGCCTTCCTTATTAAAGCCGCGTAGTTTTTCAATAACGTCGTACGATTATCGCGGCATTGACTTATCGCCAATCAGTGATATCTCGAGGAAAAAAAACACAGATACAGTAACCGAACGTTCGTCAGAAACATGCACCTCGAAGATTGAAAAGGTCAACGTCGCTGATGCTATCGACGCCGCGGCAAACAATCCTTCCTTCAATGATTCAACCACAATCCAATCCACTACGTTAATGTCGGAAGAGGATAACGACACGGACAGCTGCGATAAAGATGCTTTTGCCGATTTTCTAGATCAGCCGGATTTAACGAGAATTTATTCTAAAACGGAACCAGATCTCTTGCCAAAATCTTGCAAGAATCTAATGAAAGCAGCATCTGCGACTTCTGCTTTGATCGACGAAAATTTAACAAAACTCCAGGTGGCATACCGTAACGATCTTGACGTTACACTGCAATGTAACGATGCTGATGCGTATGGTATCGATGATGCTAAAATGAAAGCCAATTCCAATGAGAGAAAACTTTGTGTAACGCCAAAAAATCATATTAACGTATCTCAGATGGCTAAATTTCAGAATTTATTGAAAGACAAGAAGTCCAAAAATAGGAAATGTTCAAGTCCAAGTGTATTACACCTCTTAGAGCATGCTGCGTCTCCGTGCAAAGATAGCCCTCCGGCTAATAAACTCCATTCCTTAACTGATGCGATGACTAATCCTTTACGATATTACAGCCCAAAGAGATCGCGTTCCACTCTAGAACTCGATACATTGGACGTAACGAGGAACATGGCGAAGAAAACGACAATCTATACGTCGTCAGTTCCTATCACTTCCGTTACTAAACCTGTCACTGCCGCTAACAAAATCCTAATACGACGTGAATTAAAAACGATGAAACTGACAGTGAACCACACAGCGGGTCTTGGTATTTCGGTCGAACGATGCGAGGCGGCTAGACCATTCTACGTGATTGCCAAAATGGATCCCAATGGCGAAGCCGCTAAATCGAAGCAATTCCGCATCGGCGATGAAATCGTCCGAGTCTGCGGACGTAGGATACGCGGTATGTCGATGGCGGAAGCGCGAAACGCTTTGCGGAGTTGCGTTGGCATTGTTGAGCTGCAAATCGCGAGAGAACCGAATTCGGCCTACGGTGAAGAAATCGGCGACACGTGGGGCAACGCCTTGACGCGAACGCGAAGCGATCCTGACGCGTGGATTTTGAAGAGCAAAAGAACTGAATCGTCAGTTTCTTCTAACGATGATGGATCTTCAACGAACGCTAGAATTCCCCGCGCTGTTGACGACGCGACTGTTAATCTCCAAAAGATGACAGGTATGAAGAAGTTCCAAGTCATGAGGAAACGAAGCGCTGAAGCGTCTACTGTTCGACGAGGATCCAGTTTATCCATTGATCTGTTAACGATCATATTGGAAAAAGGAGCGCCGAAGAAATTGGGCTTCTCCATTGTTGGTGGCGTTGATAGTAATAAAGGACGCATGGGTATCTTTGTGAAGGATATTATGCCTGGTGGACAAGCTGCAGAAGAAGGTATCGTATTTCTTGCGAAACATTAGAGCGATTTATTTTAGAATATGAAATTAATACATACTCAGTAACCAAGAATGAATTGAAATGGCTTGAAACAGATCCAGATTTTCAGAAATACATATTTGTTAAACTAAATCCTTTTCAATCCGAATGCAATTTTATTTTTTTTATAGGAATTGCATGATGCACATTTATGTGCCTTTCAATGTAAAAATAATATTAACTTTCTCTGTCACATTGTGTATACTGCTCAGTTCAAAATTCTGAATAAGAGATAGTTTTCGATCTAATTGAATCCAGTTGAATCCAATTGAATAAAAAAAAACCTATAAAAATCAATGCTTTAAACGGTGTAACTAGATTTTAAATGCTTGCATGATTCTCTGTGAATTTATATACTACGTATGTATAAGTCCTTCGAAACGTGCGCCGAAATGATTTTTCGGTTTCTTGAAACAATAACTCTACTAAACTACCGCAGTAATATTACGAGTAAAATTGATTAGCAATAATTTGCGGTAATTTAATAGAGTTAGCGTTTTAAAACCGAAAAATCATTTCGGCGCGCGTTTTAAAGGACTATATATGTAGTATATAAATTTATACAGAATCATACAAGCATTTAAGATCTAGCTAGACTGTTTAAGGTATTGATTTCTATAGTTGAATAAAAAAAAGTTCTTTTTTTATTCAATTGGATTCAATAAAACAGAATAATGATAACTAAAATAATAGGAAGTTTTTTCATTAACATGGATTCAGATACAGTGAACGCTAAAGTCACGTTATCCTTTTCTTAATAAGTTGTTAAGAAGAAGATAACTTGATCTTAGAGTTCACTGTATCTGGAAAAACGGTATTGCAAAAACTCCTTAATGAGAACTAAATAGATAAGACTAAAGAAAGAATAAGGTAAAAAGAGAATAAGACTAAAAAAAGTTCTTTTTTTACTTAATTGAATTTAATGGGCTTAAAATACGCATAAAAATTTTAATCTCTTTTAATCCATTTTTGATTACTGAGTAAATAAAAATACATAAAGAAAATACGTCATATCTTTTTTGATGACCCATAATACGAGAGAAAATTTGCAGTGTTAGGTTTACCTGTAATGTTCAAGGTACTCTGAGAGTGGGAGACGAAATTTTAGCGATCAATGGCTCCTCGTTGGATGGGCTGACGCACGCCAAGGCATTACAGATGTTCAAAAGCGCCAAAGCCGGAAACTTGATACTTCATGTCGCTCGAAGAGATCCAACGCATAAACGGTTGTGTCACGCAAACCATGCGGTTTAGATTAATATTTAGTTATTAACATGGTTAGTTTTTGCTTTGCTCTATTAACAATTACTGACAATATTATTTATAATCTTTGCTTTCTGCTTTCAGCGCCGTTAATTAATGATGACATGAAATATCATTAACGAAAATTTTTCTATGTTACAGATATGTCACTCAAGCAAAGTCGTACGATTGCCTCGATAAATTAACGAAGTCCACTGACGAATGAAATTATTGTCTAAATTATGTTTGGTCCTTAATTATATTATTAATTTCGCTTTTAAAAACATAATGAATTATCAGAAGTTACAAAATTTTCTATTATAATAGATACAATTTCCTAAACTTTCTGAGTTTATTAAATTAAAAATATACATCTAAATATTAACAAATTTACATTAAAAAATTGAGCTATCGATATTTTACATTCTAAACATTTCTTGTATTTCGTTCGGTTAGTATCTATCGTGCTTTCGATAATGTTTACGCAGAGAGGTATATCATAACTGAACTCTAATGTGATATCAATCAATTATTTTCTAATGGATAAATTAGTAACATTTTTTTTCTAATAGACCTTTTTTATAAATAAAAACATTTCGCATTATATAATATATATATATATATAATATTAAACTTAACTTTCTAAACAAGATCTCAGAGATAACAGTAGTCCGTATTTATTTTTGTTTTCATGTATTTCTTTTATATTTAATTAATCTATCCTATTTCAGAAAAATGAGACGAATAAAGTTAAACTTTGCAGAATAATTATTAAATTATATTGCTATTAAAATATTTGCATTTCTTATTCAGAATATATCTATTTAGATATGAACGTTATACTTTAACGTTAAAGAAATGTTAAGTAAAAAAGTAGAGAATTAGTTAACAATAACGATATTGTGCAGCTTTATAGCCATGTCCTGTTAGATATGGTACGCTAACAGCTTGGAATATGGTTTAACTTAATAGCATCGTGGGATTTAACAAATGTTTTTATTTAAAAATATATTCTTGTGTAAATCAATCTACACGAACATCAAAAGCTAGTTAATTGCGTCCGAAAGCACGAAAGTCATCAACTGCGTAATGTTACTACAATAATTAGTAATTTTCGTTAAGTTATTTCGTTAAGAGACTGACATTACGAATGTCTACCTGCAAAATGCTGTGATAATGATTGTAGTCGTATCAGCTGATATTATATGAGTTGTATATTTAATAATAAATGTGATTCTGTTAAATAAAAATATAGGTACTTGGCAAACTTTCTTCTTTCAATTAAATACTTTATACTTATCATCTTATAAAGTATTATATAATATGCGAATCTTGGAATTTTTATCTACAGTTGGTTGAATCGAAGACGTATCAGTAAAGAATTAATTAAGCATTTATATTTCAAAACTAATTAATTTTTAAACGATAAGAATGCTGTGAAGTAAGATACACCCGTTCGTACCACCTTAAAACATTTAGAATGTGAATCATTTTCTACATACTATAAATTATTTTTCTAGATTGTCTCGTACTTACTGAAATGAAGACTGCCATTGACAATGGAAACAAATTACCTGCTGTCAGTTTACACGGCACAATACTTCTGTAAAGAGTTATGATTAGCAGTGATTTTAGTCTTGGTGAAAATTTGTACCATTCTGCTGCGTATCTGAAAGCATATATTTTTGAAAATTAATTTTTATTTAAATTTTTATCAACATGTGTCACGTAAATTCTAGAAAGTATCATAAATTGAAAAATCAACTCAAATAAAATCTCATGTAATACTTTTTATAATATATCCAAAATTTTATATGTACTTGCACTTTGCATAATATACTTCATTTATATTATTATTAAATAATAATTTGAATTACATTCATAAAATAATTTAAAATTAATGTAGATTTTGAATATAGATATTTGAAATAACAGATATTTGAGAAAATGTAAAATAATTATTACGCTCGATGAAATATATCCTGACTTTCATCCATTAATTTCTGGCCGGAATAACACGTGATCATCAATTGTAATAACGACCCCACTATTATAAACATAAATCTAATCAGTTCTTCTAGTTGGTCTAACACATAGACAATCTATAATACATCAAAGATATTATATATTCATGCGCTATCTGAAATATAATCATATTTGCACGAAATTTACGAAATCATAAGTTTTTAAATTTAATATATCGATGTCAATTATTGGAAAGTCGATTATTGGAGAACGATACTTACTCGAACTCCAAGTAAACTAAAAACTGCAGCGATGAACAATAAAAAGCTAATTCCGACAATCTTGTACGTATCGTTCAATATATCGACATATCTATAATAACGATGAGTTTAATTAATTAATTATATGCTTTTATTAACAATTATCCCAGCAAACAAGCTGACGTTTTTTATCGTCATTTTAACTATATGATTTTGAAAAAATGATATTTTGAATGTTAAAATGACATCAAAATGACGATAAGTAACATCAGCTTGTTTGCTGGGATAAAACAAAATTGGATCGATGAGAATAAATCTAATCAGGTAAGAGAAATCCTTGTTTCGATCCAGATGGATCTTAATACTTAAATATTTCGGTGTATATATACGTATTCGAATTCTGCAAATTGCACGCTGAAATCTTTTTCAGTTTTGAAACGTAATCAGAACTAGATAAACAGAACTAGAAATAGGAGATTCTGGTTCGAATCCCAACTGAAGTAATACTTTCGCAATCGCAATAATTAAATTATTGGTAAGTTTTTGAGTTTTTTATTAACATCAAATTATTAATATTCTCATAAGATGCTATTATTAGCATCAATAGTATTAAATTATAAATAATATTAAATTATATATTTGTCAATTTAATACGTGATATTACTATGTATAATATTATACCTACTCTCTAATTCTGTTCATGATTGCGTTTCAAGACTAAAAAAGATTTCGGTACGCGGTTTGCAGAATTAGATATGTGTACATAAATTCACACTGAAGTATTTAAGCTAGGGATGTGCGGAGGAGCACAAACTATTGATACCTCGAATCAAAATACCAAGTGCCATTACATCAATGTATTGATTAGAAATAGATTCAATACTATAGCGAATTTGTATTACTATCAATGACCTCTGTTACACGGCACACTTTACGCCGAAGTTATAACATTGATGTTTTGAAACTGGCCAATCATAGCTATTCCTCTGAAGAATAGAATGACTGTGATTGGCCAGTTTCATAACATCGATGTTATAACTTCGGTGTAAAGCGTGTCGTGTAACAGAGGTCAATATTAGGTACAGCGAATTCGGTATTCTGTACTGATTCTGTACCAGAGTCGCGTTAATGAAATTTGCGCCCAATTAGGGATTTGTGATCTTCGAATGCTTCCGCTTCCCCTAATGAATAAACAGTAAAAAAATTATTTTGTTTATTAATAATATTTTTAATACACTTATATGTGTGATTGGTACGCAGACAATTGGCCAGAGGCAGTCAAAGCCAAGATTTATTGAATTATACTTGTGTATGTACTACAAATATACAACAAATATGATTTATAAATTATGTCATTAATCTTATCATGTTAGAAGAAAGCGGAAGCCTTATGAGTCAAGTATACGTCTATATTGTTAATAGTTATTATTTATTAATTATACAATGATTTTACAAAAATCGCAAAATTATAGATGCACTTGTTTAAGTAATTTAATTTTTTAATTTTTCTTTATTGTAGCGGTCCTGACATTTCGACTCCTAGGGCTTAAAACTCTAAAAGTCCATAGGTTAAGCCCAGATCCTCATGCTGAATACCGACCCTTTGGCACCTAGCGTGATTGGTGAAAAATGGGCGAAAGGGATCAATTTTACTTCTATAGCTCGACGTTCTTCACCAATCAGCACTGAGTGTCAAAGCGTCGATATCCGCATGAGGATCCGGGCTAATGCGCTACTGGTTAGTACTGCCCTGATATAGTACTAGTACAGTATGATCTCGGAATAAATGCGATCAATCACAATGCAGCATAACTTAAGGCAACATCAAACTGAAGTAGCACAATAACACTGAATTGAGATAAAGTGAGTATTAAAACAGTGCTGTGCTGTAAATCTACTGCTAGTTTTTATCAATTCTTGCGGAATATAAATTTTATCCGCCATTTTAATTAAATAAATCAAACCGTACTGTCAAAAATTTTAGTACAATGGTTTACTCTCATTCAATTCATTTCGTTTTACTGAATATAATTTTAGCGTTACCTAGTGCAATTTTTATTCGCCGAATACATAACATAAAGCTCGCATGGTAACAGTATAATCTAACCGCGAATGCGCGAAAATTTCTTAGCATTGGGGTAGAGAGCATTGATCGAATATGTGACATGGAAAAAGTTTATACTTAGCATGCGCAGTGTGCGCACTAGTGCAAGTTGTCGAATTCACTATTATAAAAGAATATCATTACATTCAAAGGCATCCGTAAAATTTTTCCTGGGGGGCATGATCCAAAATATTATAATATATGTATATACATATAATATATATAATAATAGATAATAATAACGTCTTTAATGTATAACTTTTTTTACACATTTATATTCATATACATACGTATATATACGTATATACGTATATAGTTTATAAATAAAAGCTTATTCCCGGTAAAAAAATGTTTTATACATGAATATATATAAATATGTATAAACATACCTAAACACGCATAAATATTTATAATCATATATAATTGAGGAAATGGGCGGAATAAAGGCCTAATTATAAAATCTTGATTTTGATAAAAATTAAAATAACTTGTTACTTTTTTATTATACCACAAATGGGAACAGTATTAAACGTTTATTTATATAATGTCTTTGAGAAGGTATATGTTATAATATTTCTCTATTATGATCAATATTTAAAAAGTTATTTGGAATTTAAAAAATGTACTTAGTTCCTTTTTTCGAATATTGATCATAATATTGTAAGAATCGATAGAAAGAAAAGACTATGAATTGTAGAAATGTTTTTTATGTTCATATTCTTCTATATAGAAGAAATACAAAATGAATATGAAATACATTTTATTTTTACTTGTACAAAATAAATTGACATAATGTTCAATCATCATCTGATGAGTTTTCGTAAGATTTTTTTAACATAAATATGTTGTAATGAAAACACATTATTGTCAATTTGACGTCGATTCGATGATTTCGACGTCGAATCGACATCGATTCGACATCGATTCCATTGTCATTTCTCACTGGGATAGCTCCTACTCACTCCAACACGTTCATTGGAGTGAGTAGGAGCTATGGTAAAAATATGAAGTATGTTGGAACATGTGACACGAACAAACCTACAACATTACTACAGATGCTTTCCATTTGGTGGCACAAGTCGACATGAACATTTGTATTTTTCTATCTTTCTTAGCATACAATGAGTAACAAAGATATACACTTGTGTTGACTTGCATCACTAAATGGAAAGCACTCTTTATATGCTAACGCCACTCAAGAACGGTCAAAAACATCATAATTCAGACGATCAATTTCTCATTTCCAAAAATCATCTATATTATACTTTTGCAAATGCGTATGCGTACATTTCTACTCAATTTTACATATTATATACAATTTTATCATATATGTTTCATTTCTCTTTTATTTATTACAATTTTTCTATTATAATATCTGAGACTCAAAGTTTCCATGTAAAATATTGAAAATCAAATATCATGGCTATGCTTCGATATTTCAATTTATCGATGTGAATTGCGAATCGAAACCTCTCTAATTTAATCACTAAGATTCGCTTTGATCAAAACTAGGATTTCTCTTATTTAATTGGATTTATGCTTTTATTAAGTACTTAATATAATCGCATCTTTGGCGTAAATAACGCTATCGAAAAATCACAGAAAGAAAAATCCTTTACTCTAAAGCAAGTTGATGTTTCTTTAAACAGACGATATATTCCTGATATATCATTTCCTCGCCGAACATTTTATATTCTGTATTTGCATAATGTCCGATTTGGTTGACTTCATCGCCGATTTGCGCATTTGATATTACATTTTCAACCTGTTGACTGGAATACGAATTCACAATATTTTGTGAAAATATATCGTGGACATTTTACTTACCCAATAAGTTGAAATAAGCTGCATGCATGCGCGGTACATGCTATATGCATGGTATCAACGGCTACCATAATGGTTATACCCACCGTGATCATAATAGACGTGTACAAAAAGATCGGTACAAAATATTTATCTTGATCTATTCCATATTCACTATATATTGCGATATTTCGCGAGCGCGAACTATTAAGAGGTAGTACGATATCGAGAAGCATCGGTCCTAATGACGGTATCGTTATAAACATCGACATCATGATGTATATTAATACTGCAAATTTGTGAAATATACATTATCCTTTCAATAATATTCTTCTGCATTAAAATCGACATCCGTTACTATTTTTTTTCCTCTAATATAACCTACTTACTCGAGTAAGACACTGTAAATTTCTGCGACATATGAGAGTAACTTTTCAAAATTCGAACTTCCAAATCGTTTGTAAATATATTCCAATGATTTTCCATGATTTCATATAAACGACGAAGCTATTTGTAAAAAAACATACCAAAGATCCAGATGATATATTAAAATTTGTTTACAAATAAAAGTATACTAATCTTGAATTTTATTGACTACCATCATTCTCTTAAGAAGTTCTCTTAAGAACGTACTCCTATAATACTGATCCCAATGTTTATATCACGTATAAAATGCCTCTTAAAAATCTTTTTTAACGAGTGACTTTAACACTCTATGAAATTCACACTACTTTGCAGTTTATACCAATTGAATCTTCTCTATACATCCCTCTAGCTATCCCCATAATTTTTTTCTTTTCCGCAAGAAAAGTTGTTAAAAATTAAGTTAAAGACAGATATTTTACTATTTCAGAAAAGATTTAAGTCGAGGCAGTTCTAAACTTACTCGCTAGAA